CTCAGCTGCCAAGCCTCCTGAGCCCCCAGACAATGTGGGCGGACATTGGCTCCCAGTGGAGAGGAAGTATGATTCGCAATGGCCCTGGAGAACCCCGACCATCAGCCCAGGGCTCACACTGACCAGGGCTGAGAGGATGGCACAGATACAAGTCCGGGGGCAGAGAAGGTCACAATGCCCGCGGGCAACTCCCCTAGTGTAAGGGGACCAGATGTCCCGCTTTTGGTGGGACAGTCTCGATTTTAAACAATTTTTCCTGCGTCCTGTGGCGTTTTAAAAAAGTCCCGATTTGGGGAAAATATGCACAAGCTATGGTATATGGTTTTTGGCTGTCATGTGGCTATTTTGCCAGGATATGAGTTTTATCAATGGTGTCCTGCTTTACCAATGTTAACATCTGGTCACCTTACCCTAGTGCCCTGGCTCTCCGTGAGAAACTCAAGCTGTGCCAGAATGACCAAGACTGAACCACAGTGGCAGGTAGCAGCAGGCCTGTATCAGTCGGCAGTTCTCCATGGAGGAGTCCCACATCCTGGAAGAGCTTGTCACCATGTTTAATTGAGAGAAACAGCAGTGGTGTCAGCTCTGACTCAACAGCGACCCCATGGGGGTCATAGAAGAACTGCACTGCATAGGACTTTCAGTGGCTGAAGTTTTAGAACAAGACCACCCAGCCTCTCGTTGAAGGTGGACTTCAAAGTTCTGGGTGGGCTGAACCTGTAACCTTTTCACTTATACCACCTGGGGAACTCCCTTAGTTGAGATCACCCATGGGAGTTGCCTAGCCCTGGGCCTGGCAAATAGCAGGTGCTTAGGAAGTAGAAAGGAGCCTGGTGACACAGTGGGTTAGGTCTTGTGCTGCTCACCTCAACGTCAGCGGTTCAAACCCACCAGCTGCTCCTCAGTAGAACGATGAAGCTGTCTACTCCCGTAAAAATCGATTGGTTCCGATATCCTACATAGGGTCACTAAGCGTCAAAATAGGAGCCCCGGTGGCGTAGTAGTTACATATTGGGCTGTTACCCTCAAGGTCAGCAGTTCAAAGCCACCAGCAGCCTCTCAAGAGACAGATGGGCCTTTCTACTCCCGTAAAGAGTTAAGGTCTCAGAAACTCACGGGGGGCAATTCCACCCTGTCCTCCTATGAGCCACTGTGAGTCAGCCTCGACTGGAGGGCAGGGAGATTGTGATACGTCTACAATTAGTGGTTCTCAACCTTCCTCATGTCGTGACCCTTTAATACAGTTCCTCATGTTGTGGTGACCACCCCCCC